GGAGAAAGCTGGATGATGTTCTTGCTCAGTGTAATCTGTGTATTATAGAACCAGAGAAATATGAAGATGCAGCTAAGGATGAATCTTGGTTGAATGCTATGAAGGATGAGCTCTCCATGATTGAAAAGAATGAAACCTGGATGTTAGTAGACAGGCCAAGTAACAAGCCTATAATTGGAGTAAAATGGGTGTTTAAAACCAAGCTCAACCTGGATGGAACTGTGCAAAAGAACAAGGCAAGGCTTGTTGCAAAGGGATATGCACATAAACCAGGAATAGACTACAATGAGACCTTTGCTCCTGTTGCTCGATTAGATACAATCAGAACCCTTATAGCATTGGCTGCACAAAAGAGTTGGAAACTCTATCAACTTGATGTCAAATCGGCTTTTCTAAATGGTGTTCTAGAGGAGGAGGTTTATGTGGAGCAGCCTGATGGTTTTGTAGCTAAAGGGGAGGAAGACAGGGTATATAAACTTCACAAAGCCTTGTATGGTCTAAAACAGGCACCACGGGCCTGGTATGGAGAGATCAATACATATTTCTTACAATGTGGTTTCACAAGAAGTCTAAGTGAACCAACACTATACATCAAGGTAGAAGAGAAAGACATTTTGATTGTGTCGATCTATGTGGATAACATAATCTATACTGGGAGCAACAAACAAATGCTTGAAGAATTCAAGGAAGACATGACACGAAAGTATGAGATGACTGATTTGGGTCTTCTCCATCATTTCCTTGGAATGGGAATAATTCAATCAACTTCAAGCATTTTCATCCACCAAAAGAAATATGCAAGCTCTTTGTTAGACAAATTTGGTCTAAAAGAGTGCAAACCTGTGCTTACTCCATTGGTTGCAACTGAGAAGTTAACCACAGATGATGGAAGTGGTGCAGCAAGTGAAGAGTTATATAGAAGCATGGTGGGAAGTCTCTTATATCTCACTGCAACCAGGCCCGATATTATGTATGCATCCAGTCTGTTAGCCAGATTTATGCACTGCCCTACCAGTAAGCATGTTGGAACTGCTAAAAGAGTGCTAAGATACATTAAGGGCACACTTGATTATGGTCTGGAATATGTGAAAGGTAAGAACTCAATGTTAATTGGGTTCTGTGACAGTGACTGGAGTGGATCAATTGAGGACAGTAAAAGTACTTTTGGTTATGCTTTCTCCTTTGGCAGTGGAGTATTCTCTTGGGTATCTGTGAAGCAAAATTGTGTTGCTTTTTCCACTGCAGAAGCAGAGTACATCAGTGCTTCAGAAGCAACTACTCAAGCCATTTGGTTGAGATTTGTTGTTGAAGACTTTGGTGAATTTCAAACCGAAGCCACTCCAGTGCACTGTGACAACACCTCAGCAATTGCAATCACCAAGAACTCTGTGTTCCATCAAAAGACCAAACACATTAACAGAAGATACCATTTCATCAAGGATGCACTGAAGGATGGCATCATTGATCTGGTGTACTGTCCAACAAATGAGCAACTTGCTGATATCTTCACAAAACCTCTGCCTAAAGAGCGGTTTAATTATCTCAGGAGCATGCTAGGAGTGAAATCAGCTCAAGACTTAAAGGGGAGTGTTGAATTATAAGTCTCTAGCTGATTAAGTACTAGAAATAAGATGAGTTTTAATGTGTGTATTCACTTGAGCATATCTGCCAAGTGTAAAGTTAAAGGATGTAAGGCCATGAGTGTCATGTGGTGTTTGATCCATGTAATTAGGTAGATGAATAACTAAGATTAAAAGTAGTGATTTTGTGTGGTCCTAAAGCTAAGGCCATCAGTTAAATGTAAAGCAGAGTGAGTGCGCATTGTGTGTGCTGTACAAAGATTATTCCTCTGCAATACTTTTGTATGAGAGAAAAGAAAGAAAACTGTTCGGTTCAGCTTCTTCTGTCTTTTGTTTTTGCCTCTGTTCAGCCTTCTGGAAATTAAACCCAGCTAAATCAAGTTACGCTAACAGAAAAGACATCATGATACAGAAAGAAAAGGGTTTGTTTTGGCGGCAATCTTATGATGTGCGTCTTAAAGAACCTCATGCTGCAGCATATGGAGTTTTTGGTAATTTAACACGTTACTCATATTTTCTGTGATAACTTGTATTATCTCGTTACAGTGTTTTGGAAGTTTCATACCAATACTCAGGTGTATATTATAATTTTTTAGTTTATACATTTGCATGTTTTTATACATGTATACATGTTTTGGTACCTCTTAGTTTCATTTATATTGTATGTGTGTAGTTTTCTACTTTAGTATATTAAAAGCCAGTAGACTTAAGGAGTATGTCACCTCCTTTCTTGGTGTTCCGTGGTGGTAGGTGTGACTGCAGTAAAAGAAAATAATAGTAATAAAAATAATTCTAGAGACAAATTCTAACAGAACAATTCTATATTTTTATTTTGTGTTTACGAGTCCAGATCTGTTGCCGACAGTATGCAGTATTTTTAGTTTTTACTTTAACTATTTCCTGATGTTTGCCCCAGGGAAGGCCGGGTACGAAATTCTTTAATTGTCAAAATTAATCATTGTTAGTGATATAGTTCCCTTTCGTTTGCAAAATTAATTTGTAATGCCATTCTCACTTCTTCTGGTCAATGGTGGCATTAAATTTTAGGTGGAGGCTGCACTGCCTGGTTTCAGGATGGGTACAACCCAGTGGCAGTTGATATTGGGGGAGACGAGGGCAATTCTTGGAGCAGTAAGAAAAGAAGTCCATTCAGTGCTGATTTTTTCGGCTCTCTCTGCTATACTTTCCAGCACGGAAAATTTGGAGAGCTCTACGGTGATCTGACATGGATTGATGCTCGCCTGGATATTTGTTCAGCGTCAGGTTTGGCTAAAAGGGCGATAATGGTTTGAAGAGTTCGTCAGCTAATAGTGCAAAAGATCCGATGTCCTCCCCTGGGATCAATCTAATCTTTCAGCAGCAGGTATTTCTATTTATTCCTTAACTTTTTAAATGTTTCACACCTTAAGTTGTAAGAGATATTTTAAATGCAGTTATGCACAATGTGTTACAAAACCTGCATCGTCCCCATCAAATCCTCAAAACAAATCTTCCTCAAAATATTCCATCTTCACCTCCAAAATACCCATAATGTTCAAAAACGTCAATCTGGGAAAGCTACGCGCTGTGCCTTCTTTTCTTCGCCGCGGTTAAACGACTTGGTAGAAAAATCTGAAATTTTGGGACAATCATCTTGAAAGACTCATGAACATCCTTCAATTGAAATCTCTAAAATTCATCCGCTTGATCACTTTTTACTCAAGAGGAAGTCGAATGCCTTGCATTGAAAATACATAACAAAGTATCAAAATTCTACCAAAATAACCAATAAACTCTAACTAAGAATAGGGTAAAATATATGGTATAATATGTACTCATCAAATACTCCCAAACTTAGCTTTTTGCCTGTCCTCTAGCAAAACAAAACTCAAAAACAAAAAATAAAAACTAACAAACTAAAAACTTTAACAAAAATTGACTATGACAATTTTCACTTTCAAGTTGCCATCCATAAAAAATGTTAAAATTGGAACATCTTTTAAAAAATTCCAACCAATACCACCACAGAGTCTAAGCCATTTAGAATTAATTAGAAAAACACTCATGAACTTCATTTGGTATAAAATGAATCAACATGGTTAAAAAGACTCGACTAAAACCCTTACCACTTGTCCATTTTAGTTAATACTTACTAACTTCAAACATAACTATTTTGAAGTTAACCTAAAACCCTTACCACCACAGAGTCTAGTCCATCCGAACTCCAAAGTTAAACGAGTTTGAACGAGAGTAGTACTAGGATGGGTGACCGCCTAGAAAGTCCTCGTGTTGCATCCCTCACAGCCGACCCCACATGGTGGGAAAAGGCTTAAGAAAAACAAAAAGAAGATAGTAATAAAAGTGGTTGTGCAATGTTAGTTCACTTAAACTTTCGATCCAACCCATGTAATGAGTTTTAGGTCAATGGCTCCCAAACCACAAGGACTTTGGGGCACTAGGTGTAGAATGCCCCTAAGGACTTACTAACTTGAGCTGAAAAGGCTATGAAACCAACTAACCACCTCATCCCATGCCAAGACTCTACTATTTGACGCGAGATCACTGCTGATTAGGCATGACTAACCTAGTCACTAAGCAAAGTCTCGGTGGAACAATTATTACTTTATTTATAACAATAAATAAACTTTATTTTTTTTAGAACAAAAATATAAAAAATTAACTTAGATGAAAAGCAAGTGCTTCAATCTCACCCCCACAAATCATGTTGGTGTGAATGTGCTAATTGTGAAAGGATAACTCATGAATTAGTGCCAAAACAACAATAAATAGAAAAGACTCTACTGTGGAATTAATTTCCACCATGTCCATTTCTTCAAATGTTTAAAATAATCTATGAATATTAACTTAAAAAGAATGAAAAATTTTAGCATACTTAAAAATTAAAAATCTAAAAATTTTACCTTTCCACCCCTAAACTTAAATCACACATTATCCTCAAGGTGCGGAAAAAATAAAGAAAGAAAACAAAAATATTAAAACCTTAAAAACTGAAAAATAGCTAACAAAGACAAAAGAAAATAAAAGAAAGAAACAATAAAAGAAAATATAAAATAACAAAGGAAACAGGAACAGAAATAAAAGAAAAGACAATGAAACCGACACACCTGCGATTCGAAGTGGTGACCTGCTGACAAGAAAGAAACAGAGGCGCTGGAAAATATTGGAAAAAGAAGCAAAATTTCAGTGCTCTGGCGCCGTACCCACGAGCCCAGAGCCGTGAAAGCTATCTCCTTCATTTCCTCTTTCCCTTAATTTCTCATGGAACTGAAACCCTAGCTTCCATCATCAACCCAGAACGTCAAAACATGAATCCATCTCCATCTCTGTCAAAAACGGAACCCAGCCATGGAGATCTTTGATTCTAGCCCAGATCTCTCATTCTCTGCGATTATGGTCTCCACTTGGCGATATCTGAAATAAAAATGCATCCAACCATTTCTCCCTCTCGTTTTCACAACCGAAGCTCAAATGAAAACGAAATTCTGACTCATGCATGTATGTTTTCTGTATGTGGACTTGGGGATCCGAGTAAGGCCCCGGGGAATAGGAAATGCAAGGAGCAATGGCTCACAAATGAAGGTGCTGTACACACAGCAAAGATGGCTGCAAGAACTCGGATCTACAAAATGAAAGGTAAATCAAATCCCTCCACAGCGTGGTTTAATATCTCTGAAAGTCATACGGATTTGTGAAATGTTTCTCTCATGCATTTATAGACCTAAAATTTCGTCAATGCTCATGTAATTTTCTGTGACATGGCTTTGATGAATGCCCACCTCTGTGTTGCCTGGACCACCCCCAAACTATATGTAAAACAATATTTTAATGAAATATGAGAGTGAGTGAGCGAAATATAAATGTTGATGAATGGATGATGAATGGATGATGAATGCTCACATAAATGTTGATGAATGGATGATTGATGAATGCGTATTTTTGTATCTTTATTGTTTCGTTTATAGAAGAGTAAGGTTTATATCCCCCTTCTTTTTCATGTATTTGTTTTCTTTTTTCTTGTATTACAAGGAGTTAGGTTTATGTTCTCCTGACTAGGTGTAACTTACTTTTTGTTATTAATAAAATTCCCCTCGTACCGTCTAGGTTTTCTAAAAAAATAAAATAACAAAAGCAATAAACTACTATGGAACGCTTCCCATTTTCAACCAGGGATAAGCCTCTCAACAGAGAGCAGGAAATCCAACATAGGTTTGAAATTTGATCAATACTTTCCACAACTTTGTTTTTTAATTTTTAATTTTAATTCTTTCAGAGTGTTCGTCCTGTAATGTTTGGCAAAGCTAGAATGTCATTGTTCAAGCATAATTCGATGCAAATAAGTTTGTTTGGCAAACATTGATCAACTAGCCATTTGCACTGCATTTTTTATCTAACAAATACGAGAACGCTTTCACATAACATCAATACTATTACATGCTATACCACATATTAACAATAAGCTTCTATTCGCATATACCATTTGCTCGAAGTTTGTTTCTGATCCGACACATATGTGCCACAGCATCACAGATGTTCAATCTTTCTCTAGGCAACTCCGCTGAGCAAGCAACACCAATTTCTAAAACAGAGATTAAACTTTCTATGATGAGGACGCGATTCCTTGCCCTCTCCTCATTAGGATGATTGCTCTCTTGAACAAGACCGGGATCCAAAACCTCTTCCACTTGCTCAGGCAGAGCTGCCTTCACAAAGCTATAAAGGTTTGAAGTTCCTTGAAACATGTCATCGGTCGGTCTTTTTCCTGTAAATATTTCCAACAGGAGGATGCCAAAGCTGTACACATCACCTTGTGTCCACACTTCATGTCCCATGCCATATTCTGCATTCCACAATTCGGAACATTAGATTCTAATTTTCTAATGAAATGCTAAAAGCTCATTTCATGTTTGAAAATTTTAAAATAAATACTGCACAATTTTAAAATACTAGCTAGGGAAAAATAAACCACCAAGTGTATTTACCTGGAGGAGCATAACCAATAGTTCCCTTGATCCCTAAAGAACTTGATTGATTTCCCGAAGAATTTTCAGCGGCTTTTGGTAAGAACCTCACCAACCCGAAGTCACCTACATGTGCAACCATGTCCTCATTGAGAAGAATATTGCTGGGTTTGAGGTCGCAATGAACCATTGGCATCTCACAATGATGATGGAGATAATCCAATGCCATAGCAACATCAATAACAATATTCAACCTCTGAGAAATTGTTAAGCTCCTTGGCCTCTCATTTGTCTCACCAATTGTATGAATTGGATACAGCCATTCCTCCAAGCTCCCGTTAACCATGAACTCATAAATTAAGGCCTTGAAGTCATGTCCGCGATAATCAAAACCAGAACATGCTGAGAGTACCTTGACAAGATTACGGTGTCTAATATTTTTGAAAGCCTCGCACTCAGCAATAAAACTTTTGTATGCTCCGCGACGAACGAGGTTGAGTACCTTGATGGCAACTGTAGTTTCACCTTGCTCAAGTATTCCTTTATAAACGGACCCAAAACTGCCCATACCGACCAAGTTGGTTGAGGAGAATCCATTTGTTGCCTTTAGAAGACTTTGGTAAGACACCTGGGGAAATTTGTCCGAATCACTTGCAGGTTGACCCTTTTTGTCCCTCCGTGAGCAATAAAGGTACAAAAAGGTTAGTGCAAAAATGACTCCAAGAATCCCACAAACGAGGGAGAGAACCAATTTCATGGTTAAGCTCAATCCTTTCTTTTTTGCATGCTGGAGTTTGCACTTTGGCAAATGAAACTCAGGTATGCCCCCACAAAGCTTGCTATTTCCTTCAACTGATGTCGCCGTTGCATTCTTGAACACTCCTTTGATCGGCAACATGCCCTCAAAATTGTTATAAGATAGATTCAGAGATTCCAAAAATACAAAATTTTCTAAGAATTCTGGAATGGTGCCTGACAAGTTGTTGTGAGAAAGATACAATTCTGAAAGACCTCTTAGTGAACTCAAAGTTGATGGAATTGTCCCATTGAAGAAATTTCCATGCATGTCTAGGTACTCTAATTTTATACAACTAACAAGACTAGCCGGAATTTTACCGAATAACATGTTATCAGAGATATCTAAATACTCTAGATTTATTAAAATTCCTATGTTCTCTGGCAGGGAGCCTATAAACTGATTTTGTCCTAAACTCAAATCATACAAGTTCAGCAGACCAAAGATTTCTTGCGATATGATACCGCTGAAATTGTTGGCACCAAGATGTAAGATCCTCAAATTCTGACACTCTGCTAAACTCGGCGGGATATTGCCTTGAAGTTTGTTGCCTGCTAAGACTAACACATTTAATTGACTTAAATTTCTGAAAGAGGATGGAAGATTGCCAGAGAGAGAGTTCCCATCAAAAGTTAATTGATATAACTTGTGCAGCTTTCCCAGACCAGGGGGAATGTGACCTGAAATTTGGTTCTCCTCCATCCCCAAATCCTCTAAGTTAGCCAGATTTACAATCTCATTCGGGATACTTCCTAATATTTTATTTTGAGCTATAATGAAGCTTTGAAGAGAAGAAGACAGGTTTCCTATGCACTGAGGTAACGTGCTTCAAAAATTGTTGGTAAACATTTGGAGAATTTCTAAATGGGTGGCGTTGGTCAAATCGCAGAGAAAGGTCAAGTCATCAATTCCCCAACTTCCGAGATGGTTGTCAGCAAGGACTAACCACTCAAGCTTATGCAAATTCGTCAACGGAGGGACCTTTCCATGCAGGTGGTTACCTCCCATCGCCAATCTAAATAGATTTGAGGCATTTGATAATGAAACAGGAATAGATCCACTGAATTGGTTACTGGAAATAGAAAATGTTTGGAGACTCGGAAAGACCATACCTAAGTTTGAGGGTAGACTCCCTTGGATTTCATTCTCTCCCATAGAAAGGAGTGTGAGAGAAGAGAGATTAAAGATTGAGGGAGGAAGCATACCCGAAAAGCTATTTTCAGCAAAAGAAAGAAAGCTAAGATTGGTCATTCGTCCAAAAATATCCGGGACAGTGCCACTCAAATTATTATAAGTTGCGGAGAACACTTCAAGAGATGATAAATTGCTAAAAGAAGTAGGGACTCCTCCTGTAAAGTGGTTAGAGTGGATGGAAAAAACTCTTAACTTTGACAAGAGGCCAAGCTCCTTTGGAATCTTTCCCATCAGCACATTGAAACTAACACTGAGCGTGAGGAGCTGAGAGCAACGCGACAAGTTAGTGGGAATTTCTCCACTCAGTGAATTGTTGTTTAACCGCAGTCTTCGTAATCTGCGTAGGCGGCCGAATTCTGGAGGAATTTCGTGGCCTAAGCTGTTTGCCCGGAGATCAATGACTCTCAAAAAACTGAAGTTCCCAACATGCGGTGGTATAGATCCTGCAAGTTTCAAGGACGGCAGGCTCAAGCTTGTGACCCTCTTATGACGACGACCACATGTAACGCCATGCCAAGAGCAAAAGTGGATGGTTTCATTCCATGAAGTCAGGACTTTAAAAGGGTCATGAGTTATGCTAGCCTTGATTTCAAGCAAAGCGAGTCTATCTGTCTCATTTCCCGGAAGGGCGAAACAAGGAAGGCAAGAGCGAAGAATGAAAGCATGCAAAAAAAAGGATGACAAAAACACTGCAGAAATGGAGTTGTAAAACCCCATCCCCATGGTGATGATATTTGTTTTGTGCGAAAGTAGAAATTGAGTTGTAAAAAGGTTGAGCTGTATTGATTGTTTGTCTAGCAGCTTTAGCAGCATCCAATTTATAATCATAATCAGAGTGCTCTGTGCGTAGTGGATCAGCCACCCCAATCGCTATCGTACTCGATGAGGGATGTCCTGACAAAAAAATATATCTTTTTCTCTTAATTTTATGAATAAATTCAATATAAATCTAATTTTGTGAACCTAATATTAGGAATGTTCACTTTTTTGAAATTATTATCTTCATTCTTTAACTTAAAACAAATGAAAAAAGAGAGATATTAGTTTTGTATGAAATTTCTCTTTGATTATAAACTGTATCACACAACGACTAACTTGATGAATGTGTTGTTCTTGTTGAGAAATTTTTATGGGTACTAAAAATACAAGTTAGGTGGCGTATTATTCCACGTATTATAATAAAGGTGGACGACAAGGTTGATATATCTTACTTCTTATGTATATTGATAAAAAAAAAAAACAAAAAACAAAAAAGCAAATTCATGAGTTATAAGTTGAGTGAAATAATAACACCATATGGTCGTGTTCGAATACATAAAAAATTGCTCGTTCCTGTTCATATCGATAGTATGCCAATAAAACAATAGTTAGCTTTGGTATTGTACAATGACAATTCCTAATTTTGATGCATTATTGTGTCATTTGTTTATGCCAACAAATAATGTTCGTCCTCACTCCTCTAGTTCCAGATTGGGTGCGGGCTTGCGTCTTGTGAATGGATTGAGGATATACACAAAAGAATAGGTAATGGGAATTTAGGTATGGGCAAGGCTGAGATCAAACAACCAATGCGACAGAGGCGGCCTTGGGGGACCAAAAGGTGTAATTGTACATGGTTCCAAATTTATTTGAAAGGACTTTAATATTTATATTAAAAAAAAAAACTAAAGAGAGTCGCAAGATTATAGGAAGCCGTATTACGCACGAAAGCCGTATTGTCTAAAGGGGTAAGATGAAGCTAAGGGTCCCGAGGTTAGCATTCAAAACTTTCTACGTACTTTTTTGAGATAGCATTTGGTCTTAGGATTGGTACTAATGAAGTGATCAAAGCCACTTCCTGTTCTCTAGCCGCGTCTAACCACTATGAGTCATTAGAAAAAGATCCAACTGTTTTTTTTAATAAAAGGGAACCAGCCGGTGACTTTGCCACGACAGTCCATTCTTCCGGGGGTAGGGAAGACTCACATAGGCATTTCAGCCTCCCCCTAGCCACCATCGTGCGATTCACCAGCGCTAGGAATCGAACCCAAGACATGTCGTGTGGAATACGGGTCTAAAATTCATCCCCAACCACTGGGTCGCCCCATGGTGGTTGAAAAAGATCCAACTGAACCACCTGAAATTTAATTCTTTTTGTTTCTTCCAGTAACTCGTATAGGGAAAGAATGACACGTAGACTGCTATCAGAGTCTGAAATACTAGTAAATAATAACATAACCAACTTCCGTAAATAGCCAAACAAGGCATGCCCAAGTCGCTGATGCCTTAACTAAATCTTCTTAATCTTGTCACCATTCCCACTACGTACCTGATTTACTCTGCTAGGAGCCTAGGAGCCACATCGTCAACATAATACAACCCCTTTCTCTTAGTACCATGCCTAATTACAACCCTAGTTTGGATATCCGGAAGTAAGCAAAAAAATAGAAACATTAGTACGATATAACCCAATTGATCGATAATTTGACTGACTGATAGAAGATGATTTGATAATTCCGGAAGAAGCAAGGTATTGTGTAAGGATAAAGATGAGGTGAGTGCAATTGGACCAGCCTCTGATCCGAGATAATATTTCCATTGGCAGTGACAACACCCTCTGTTGGAGGATGAAATGAGGTGAGTGCAATTGTTCCAGCCTCTGATCCGAGATAATATTTCCATTGGCAGTGACAACACTCTCTGTTGGAGGATGAATCATGGATGAAAGAAAGACTCATCATGCGGCATGTGGTCACGATCTCTAGAAGCAATTTAGACATTTCCCGAATTTCCTGAATTATCTCGATCAACAGAGAGAGATACTTGATCAAAAAAAGACAATATTGTCTTCTCTCCCATGGTTGCAGTAGGCTTAGGTTTAAGATTTTCAATGTCGATTGCCAAGAACAAGCCGCACGACAAGAATTAGGATTATTGTGCTACTTAAAAAACACGAAGAGGCACCGGGTAAATTTTGGTTCTGTGTAGGATTAATGATTGTCCAAAACACAAGACAATCAACGAAGTGTAGGGCAATGACATCCAAGGAAGCTACATGACATGAATAGTATTTTGGGTTTAGGTTTTTTTTTTTTTTTTTTTTTTTTTTTTTTTTTTTTTTCCGGGAAAAGAGACAAGCCGTGACCCTTTTTTTTTTTTAATTTTTTTTTATATAGAAAACCTTGATTGTATGAGTGAAATTTTATTGATAATAAAAAAATTTCCACCTAGTCAAGATAGATGTAAACCTAACCCTTCATAATACAAGAAGAAAAAAAAAAGAAAGATTGAAAACACATGAAAAGGAAGGGGGACATAATATTTTACCCTTCTAGAAACGAAAACAATAATGATACAAGGAAAAAAGAGGGGGGGGGGCCTGAAACCTAACCCATCCATAGCCAAACCTAAAAGTCTAAACCTGTAAAACAAATTAAGTTAGATCACAGGTTAAGAAAATAAAATAAGAAAGTGAGACAAACCTATATGTCGAGATGCACATTCATTTGAGAAGCGGAAGCCAGTAAAGCCAGCATAGTTTGAAAACAAAGCAGTACGAGCCACCAGCAAAGGGGAATCATGCCATACCAAAGTTGGAGAAGACGAACCTATATTAGCAAAGTTGTATGCAACAACATTCCCTTCGAAATATATGTGAGAGGTGTAGAAAGTCATCTTTCGAATGCGATCTAAACAAATAGACCATTGCGTACGAAGAGGCCAAGGAGGGTCAAAAGCAGTCGATTGGAAAGCAAAAATAACACTAGAACAGTCACTTTCCAGCCAAAGACAATGCCATCCCTGCTGATATGCAAACTCTACATCAATAATAATTGCTGATAATTCTGCATAGAAAGAGTTACAATGACCAATCTAATACCAAGATAAAAGTGTAAAACTTTTTTTCTTTTTTGACGGTACGAGAGAAATTTTATTGATAACAAAAAAGAAGTTACACTTTATCATTTTCCGAAGTTAAAGTTGGAGAAGACAAGCCCATGTTAGCAAAATTGTCCGCAACAAAATTTCCTTCGTAATATATGTGAGATGCGTAGTAAGTCATTTTTCAAAAATGAAACACTTCCGGTACTGTTCACTTTTAACGAAAAACCATGTTTTTACCTTTCCCTGGTACTATTCACTATACCTTTATTTGTCATTTTTCATTAAAACTAAAATATTTTTAGACTTTTCGTTAGTTTTCATTTTTGTGAATGTGGTCCAAACAAATACACCATTGCTTACGAAGAGGCCAATGAGGATCAAAATCAGACGACTAAAAAGTGTAAAACTTGATGAGAGTTTTTGGGTTTGTATTTTTGTGTTGTATTCTTCTGTCAAGTACAAGTATAAGCATATCTAGGTACACGAAATCCCCAAATTACAAAGCTATAATAAATAGGGAAGTTGACTCACGCAGAACAACATGCTGGATGGTGGATCCACACCTAAGACTATCGTAATCATTGACGCATGGTTGAATTGCCCAACACTAACAGAACTATTGAAAGTGAACGTTGGCAAAAGACTTGGAGTATGTGTCAGTTGACATGACGGTCAGCAAAGGTTTCCAAGAGTTGGAGCAATAGTGCATAATCTTTCACACAAACATAGCCCTCTATATTTGGACACGCCAACCTAATCCGTATGTATATTTTAGTGTACACAAAATATGGACCAGTGCATCACGTGTCATAATATAAATATAGGAATACTTCAAAAAAAAACCTTCTTCCTGCTTCATTATGACATGTAATGTACTAACTTGTGTTATAGGTACATGGAAAAATCTCTCTTCTAAGGACTGTCAAATGTACATGGAAAAATCTCTCTTCTAAGGATTGTCAAATTTTATTGCCAATAGATGGTGGCAAAAAGGCACTGTTATAAATCGTGATCGATTCCCCATTTAAAGTAGTGGTGAAATTAGATTGTTGATTTGAATTCATGCTTTGAACGTGTAATCAAGACTTACACAACTAATTAATTTGCAAAGTAGGCCAGTAATACTTGACCTATGAGAAGCTATATCAAATCATGATGTAAAACCCAAGAAATTAAATGAAATCATCATTTTCAGATGAACTAGTTTGGCTAAAATGCATCTGTTTTCAGCTTTCAACTTGCTTTTTGGAATGTACATAGCACTGGCCTACAAGTACTTTAGCTAGTGTTGGAAAATTTCTTCTGCATAATTTAGTCCAGTCAATTATTGATGGTCTCTCAGTGTTGGAAAATGGATGCATAGATGGGGAAAGAGATCCTCTCCGGATCTCTGTCCACCAAACTCAGTGAACCGAACCCTTAAAATTTGATCCAACGGCTAAAGTTATTATAACTTTTAAAGGGGCTCTTGTTTTTAGCTGTTTGATCAAATTTCAAAAGCCTGGATCACTGGATTTGATGGAAGAGATTCGGACCCATAGATAGCTTTCCATTGCCAATTATTACAAGCCTACCAATTGCTTACTCAGAAGTCCTACCGGACTTGGCATCAGTCAAGCACTAGTTTGTGTATCCAATATCTGTTATTTTCCAACACTAATGATGAGTTTAAATATACGAAGAAATAGCAATTAAAGTAGTCCATAATGATATTTTTTTTTTTTTAAAGTGCAAGTAACAACTTCGGAATTTCTTTCAACTCACTCAATCAATGGTTCGAGATTACTCATTTCATCACTGAAAGCCTTCGGTAAAATCTCATTATAGACTTTGTGTAGGTCAACTGTCAAGTATCGATCGTCTACCATTGTTGCAAAATACTTAAGTCGCCGGTGTGAGAACACTTATGGTTTGTAACTCGGTATTTATATGTGCCTTTATGGGTGCGCCCTTTGATCATAGAGTACAATATGGTGCTTTGTGCTCAAAGAGGTAAGCACAAATAAAAAAAATTTGTGCCTCTGTTCTGAAAAAGTTATCAGATGACTTTCCCCATCCATATTAGCCCAATTTTTGTTATTGTGCCCAATAGGTTATATTTTGAAAATGAAAATGTCAAAATTTGAAATAAATCAGAAAATTTCATAAAATCAAGATGGAACACACAACAAAATCCAATGTCTCAGCTGTAAGAAGGATCAAGTAGTAGAAATGGAAACATCACAATTCAGCAAAAAGTTGTTCGCATGTTCCACAGACACAAACAAATTGTGCGCTACTGTCTATTTATAGACACTAAAAGTTTTTGTGCCTATATTTTGTCATACAATTGTCAGACCAATAATTATATATATATATATATATATATATGCACTACTTGGCATGGCTTCGTGCCCAATAATGTGTTTGTGTCCATTTCTTTTTACACTGAGTACAATACATTGTATCCTTTATTGAATGGACACTGTTCCACCATATTAGTGTTCTCAAAGACACAAACTCTTCATTTGTGTACACCAAATCCCATATTTTTCGTAGTGTTTCAGCAACTTTTGGCAGGAACCTCACCAACCCAAAGTCACCTACATGTGCAATCATATCCTCATTGAGAAGAATATTGATAGGTTTGAGGTTGCAATGAACTATTGGTGTCTCACAATGACGATGGATATAATCCAATGCCATAGCAACATCAAAAACAATATTCAAACTCTGAGAAATTGTTAAGCTCCTTGGCCTCTCATTTGTCTCACCAATTTTATGAATTGGATATAGCCATTCCTCCAAGCTCCCGTTAGCCATGAACTCGTAAATTAAGGCCTTGAAGTCGTGACCGCGATAATCAAAACCAGAACATGCTGAGACTATCTTGACAAGATTACGGTGTCCAATATTTCGGAAAGCCTCGCACTCATAAATAAAACTTTTGTAAGCCCTGCTAAATGAACATGGTTGAGTACCTTGATCGCAATTGTAGTTTAACCTTGCTCAAGTATTCCCTTATAAACGGACCCAAAACTGCCCATACCGACCAAGTTGGTTGAGGAGAATCCATTTGTTGCTCTTAGAAGACTTTGGTATGATACATCTGGGGAAGTTTGTCTAAATCACTTTAAGTGCGATCTTTTTTATCCCTCCGTGAGCAATAAAGGTACAAAAAGGTTAGTGCAAAAATAACTCCAAAAATCCCACAAATGAGAGAGAGAACCAATTTCATGGTTAAGCTCAATCCTTCTTTTTTTTGGATGCTGGAGAGTTGCACTTTGGCAAATGAAATTCAGATATGCCCCCAGAAAGCTTGCTATTTCCTTCAACTGATGTCGCCATTGCATTCTTGAACACTCCCTTGATCGGCAACATGCCCTCAAAATTGTTATAAGATAGATTCAGAGATTCCAAAAAATTCAAACGTTCTAAGAATTCTGGAATTGCTCCTGACAAGTTGTCAGAAAGATAGAATTCTGTAAGAACTCTTAGTGAACTCAAAGTTGATGGCATCGTCCCATGGAAGAAATTTCCATGCATGTCTAGGTACTCTAATTTTATACAACTAACTACACTTGCTGGAATTTCACTGAATAACATGTTTTCAAAGATATCTATATACTCAAGATTTATTAAAATTCCTACGTCCTCTGGTAGGGAGCCGAGAAAATGATATTGAGGTAAACTAAATATATACAAGTTCAACAGACCAATGATTTCTTGCGATATGATACCACTAAAACTGTTCTCACCAAGATATAAAAGCCTCAAATTCTGACACACTATTAAACTTGGCAGGATATTGCCTGGAAGTTGTTGCCTTCTAAGCTTAAATTTCCGAAAGAGGATGTAAGATTGCCAAAGAGAGAGTTCCTACTCACATTTAATAGATATAACTTGTGAACCTTTCCTACACCCGGGGGAATGTGACCTGATAATTGGTTCTCAGCATCCCCAAAACCTCCAAGCTAGCCAAATTTACAATCTCATTCGGGAAACTTATATTTTATTTTGTGCAAAATGGAAATCATTTATTTATTTTTATTTTTTATTTCTGAACGGATGGAAGTCATTTTTAGAAATTAGATGTGGAAAAACACATAATTAACAATTTGACGAGTAACATGATGATACTAGAAATCAAGTAAACATAACAAAAGGCATGAATTATTCATGGAAATTGTGAAATCAGAAGAAATTTGTACATGTTACTTGAGTGTTTTGTAGTCATTGGAGTAGCGATAAACTACATCAAACCAACTATCCATAGCACTTACAATAAGTATATTGAAACTGTTTTGATCAGTCAAAATTTTAAAAAATTAATCAAAATTACCAATTATGATTAAGTTTACGGGACTCCATGGAATTCATGTTTAATTGCGGGACTAGATGCATCCATTTCATTCAAATCAAGAAATACAACGCAATCAAATAACAAAATACCTGAATTCGAAGATAAAGCCAGGGAATATAGAAAACTTCAAGTCTTGAAGAAATGGGAGCATAGCCTTGCTTTTTGCAACAAAACAATCCCTTTTTTCAGAAAATTACAGGAAGACAAATAAAATTCGAAACAAATTACTTCAATTGAATAGGGAATCTGCAAATTTGCTACCACTCGATAATTTTGCAGAAGCGGCAATTATGTTTCATTTCCCTGCAATAACAACAAGTACAATTCTGTAACCGTTCTCCCCACTAACCTAAAAGGCTAAACCCACTTCTTCAATTCCTTCTTATTTGTCAATCATAAACCAAGGGAACCTTATGACATTTAAACCTTAATTATCAATGTACCAAGTATATCGGAAATACATAAATAACGAAATTCCACTAACGAACTAAACAAATGGTCCTTCAATACATCCTTACAGAATCACAACTTACCTTCCAAATTGGACACAATGCAATAAGCAAGAATTGCAATGTTCTGAGACTTTTTCGGATCAAGCACACACCTAATTCAGAAAATTTCCCATAAAATTTGACAAAATGCAATAAACAATAATTAAATATCACTACTTACCTTCCAAAAGCGCAGACTTCATCAATGGTAACATTAGGCCCCCTCAACAAATTTCAAATTCTGCACACCAAATCAATCCGATCCAATGAGCAATAATATAATAAAAAGGCATACAGAGATCCAAAATGTTGAAATTACAATAAAAAAATCAAATCATGCTTTAAAGAAATGCAACATATTCATGAAAAACTTGAAATTTTGAGAACAATTCGCTTCATTCATTAGAATCCAAGTAAAGAGATTGAAGCCAAAATTTGAAACAAAAACCATAATCGAATTAACTAAATTATATCACTTGAAAAGGATAATCACTAAGAAATAAAACGGATTGAGAAGTACAATCATGACCTACGCCCAACTGCTTCGAGAAGAATAATTGCGTCGATTGCTTAGCTGACAAAAGGGTCTCATCAGGTAATGGCACTCCAGTCAAATCTAAGCCAGCTCCACCAATAGGTACTTCTTCATACTTAAAATCAATCTCTAGTTTATGTAAACATATTCAGTTATACAAATATCCAAATGTTATATAATTACTAATTTCCCAACAAAATTTCTCGAATATACAACACACAGAGCAGCTCAAATTGTTAAACATTAACCCAAAGAAAATATGGGAAAATTAAAAGACTTTTCCTTTTAATTTTCCCACCGTTTCTCAGGCACCTGAAATAAAATTGAGAAAAGGAAGAAAACGGAAGCAGAATTAAAAGAAACCATCGATGGAGGGGGCGAGGTTGAGGCCAAGCCATCGCCGGGAAGCAAAGTGATGGGGGTAGCGTTTGGAGGGTGAGGCTGCAGAGCAACTGATCTTACCCACTCTGCTTTCATCGACCGCTAAACAGAGAAAAAGGAGACAAAAATATAAAATAAATTCTCGTATAAATAAATTTGTAAAAGTGGGAAAATTGGCGGTGATTACAATTTGTAAAAGAAGCAACTAATCCTACCCACTCTGCTTCATCGATGGATAGCTCACTTGGTTTGCTAAAAATATTGTATAAATAAATTTGAAACCCCTCATACCTTAAATTGGAATTTCGAAACTGAAAGACGAAGGCAAGACGACGACACGGTACGGTTTGCCGGCATTCGTGCGAAAACAGCTCGCCGGAATTAGAAGACCTAGAACCTAGCCGCTTAGCACTTGAAATCGATTTGTTGGGTTCGAATTTTAAGTGTGGGAATTCGCTTTGCTGGTTTGAGGGTTTTAGGTTTCGAATATTTTTCTGTTAATTGCGAGAAACAGAGCTAAATGGGACGATGTTTTGCCAGATGAGGCGAAGAGGCGGAGGGGAAGATTCACTCACTCCAATCCTCCAAGAACCCATAATTTTTTCAATCCTTGGAACCCTAGAAAAATCACCAGAAGATTAATTTCTTTGGTAAAGAATTTTTAAAAATCTAAAGTAGGATAAATTGCTTACCTTCCGTATAGAGGGTTATGGAAAATGCGAGGATGGAGTGGTGGTACGTCGCGGTTCTCGCGTGTTACATCGAATTTGGGTGAACAGGTGGAAAAGCAATTTACAGAGTTGGAGGTGGTTTTGTTTGATTGAAGAATCTCGTTGAAAGATGAGGAAGGCTATCGAAAATGGAGAACTGGAGCAGGAAGGAAGAGGTGCAGGAAAACAGTTGATGTCGAATTCCATAAACCACCGAGAAAAGCATGAACGACAGCTCACAACACAGATACACATGTTAACATGGGAAATTTCGTAATTTTACTGTGCATATGGAAAACCAAAGAGCAACTTGAACAATAATATGGGCGCAATTCCGTCTTTACACCGTGCTTAGGAACATTAAACCTGTTGCTGCTGCAATATTTCTATTTTGCAAATATTTGAGAAGAAGTTGATTCGTGTTAGTGTCGTGCCACTTTTACTTAAAAGTTGAAAAGAGTTTGAGTGGCAAAGCGTAGAAATAAAATTGTCTACCAGTTGATGAGTTTTGTAAGTCTCTTAGGTTTTGTTTGTTGTACCGGGCTATCTCGGACTGAACTAGTTTTGGGGACTAAGTTTGACTGGTTTAGATTAGATTAAGTCATACTAAGTTAGTAAACTGTTTGGTTCAGTGTCGGACTAAAAAATAAAATAATTAATAAATTATAATATTATAATATTTAATATATGTCTAATAATATTAAATTATGAGTTCAAGCTTTTCCTTCTGTACACTCTTCTACAGTTCTACGTCTCTCTAGAATATTTTCATCCTCTTTGGTTTCATAGCCATTATTTCCTTTCCTCCCATCTTTTTTACTTCAAAATGCTTAAAAGTTCAATTCCATTTTTTTCTGCAAAACACTTCAAAACCATATTCCTGCAAAATCATCTCCAAAGCTACTCTCTCTCCTCCCTCTCTATCGCTCCATCTCTTTTTATCCCCAAAGCTACTCTCTCCCCTTCTCTATCCATTCTTCTCCGAAATTTTTTGGGAAAAAGAAAAATTATCTGGGAGATTTCTAGGAAGTTTTGGGAATAAGGAAGAATTTTTCTATTGAGATTGTTATTGTTATTGTGTTGCTTTTTCTTTTCAAATTTTGGTGGCTGGATTTTGAGATTTATGTTGTGGGTGGGATTGAGTTTCAGATCCGGGCATGGGTGGGCAAACAGAGTTGCCCAGAAGCATGCTTGCAGACTTGCAATGCAAACATCGTATGCAGTTCTAGAAACAGGACTAGAAATCCCATGATTTTTGAGGGGGTTCACTATGACCGGCCAATCCCATGGTTAGTCAAGACGAGTGAAGGTTAGTGTCATTAACGTTAGTCTCAGTGGGTAACCAATAGGGGACCGGACTAACACTTAGTCCAGTCCAATCCAATGAGAGTTAGCGAGGGCAAACAAACTCGCCCTCAGTGTTTATCCTGACTTAGTACACTCCATTTGTTTATTTAAATGCATATATCTAGGATATTTTCATAAGATGTCAATGCGTAATTAAAGTTAAATAAAATTAAATGTATAATCTAAGGATTTATACGACAAATTTTTCATATAGGAATTCAAGTTATACATATGTAATTCTAAGGATTTATCTATATGAGCTATTAATCACTTGAACATATACCAGATTCAGTTAGCATGTATAATCTTAAAAGTATTATTCCTAATTTCGTAATTGTTGAAAAATAAGGCCTTGTTTGGTCTCTAGGATTGGAATGGAATGGTTAAACTACTGTATTCATGGTATATTAAAGATAGAGGTGAATGCTTTTTCATATTGAGGGGATTAGAAGGGGGATAAGACATGATGGAAAATAACCCTTTCTGATCCTTACCATTTTGGCAAATTGGAATGGAAAATAATCCATCTCCTACCTTCAAGTAACCCACAAATTTTTCATTTCTTTCGTCAACATTCCTTGAATATAGTGGGTTGTCCATTTCAATCCAATCTTAGAGACCAAATGAGGTCACAATTTTTTCATTTCTTTCCTGAACATACCTTGGATATAGGTCATATCTATCAACATGCTTCAAATGTCTTAATTTACAACTTTCTTATGTTTACCACTTTTAAATATAGGTTACATGGCTTGATAACATTGTACATATGCACTGCACCGAACATAGATAAAAGGGGAAAGTTTCATGTCTGCACATGTGCTCCCTAAGCTGTTTTAGTGAAAAATTGCATGTCTGTACCTTTATTCCTTCATTTATCTTCCTGTTTAAATTATGAGCCATGTATTAAATTTTCTCAACCCTTAAGATGTTTGCAGCTTCCTTACCATGGTATTCCACTTGGGGCTGCATGGTCTGAACTGTTCGTTGACCATAAAGGAAAATACTGGGATTTGCCTGAGTCAATTTCCTTAGATATGTCATCACTTGTTTCCGAATCTGGATTGCGGTACCGCATTGGTGTACATAAAAACATCCAGGCAGTTAATTCCGTAGATTCTGCGCAAGGGCTGCCATTTCTTATGAAAAAAGCCAAGATATTTGGAGGCAAAATGAGACATGAAAAGACATCATGATACATAAAGAAAAGGGTTGATTTTGGCGGCCATCTTATGATGTACGTCTTAAAAAACCTCATTCTTCAGTATCTGGAATTTTTGGTAATTTTACACGTTATTTATATTTTTTGTGATAACTTGTATTATCTCATTACATTTTTGTTGGAAGTTTCATACTAATACTCAGGTGCAATATCGTATAACATTTAGCTTATACATTTGCCTGTTTTTATACATGTATACATGTTTTGGTACCTCTTAGTGTCACTTATATTGTATGTGTAGTTTTCTACTTTAGTATTAAACCCAGTACATGTAATGAGTATGTCACCTCCTTTCATCTGTTCCGTGGTTGTAGATGTGCCTGCAGTAAAAGAAACATCATAAATAATAGTAATAAAATATAATTCTAGACACAAAAGTTCTAACGGAACGATTCAATATTTTTGTTTTGTGTTTATGAGTCCAGGTCTGTTGCCGACAGTATGCAATCTCTTAGAGCACTTTCAGCGTTGGCTTTTGCTCGGGGAACAGGCCAGCAAACAAGGCCCGAGGGCCCGCCCTATTGACTCCAGTGTGTGGGAGCCCGAGGGACAGGGCAGGCCCGAGCACCAAGCCTGTCACGAATTGCCAGCCATGAGCCCAAAGGCTATCTGACGCAAGGCTGACGTCAGCTAGGCGTCAACCCCTTTTTTATTTTTTTTCTGTCAGGCGCGTGCACTGCACCCGCGTGTGGGGGCACGTCACCCGACATGTTTTCAGCAAATGGGGCCCGCGATGCAGTTTCAAATTGTTACCGTTGGGAAGCCACGTGGCTTCCCATGGTCCATTGGATCTCAACGGCAAGAAAATGTGGACCATCAGATTTGCAACGGTAAAAAACATAAAAAATCTTATTTAATATCAACCGTTGGATTTGAGATCAATGGTTGATATTATTCTCCTTTATAAATATAAAAAAAAGGTTTTAAAATTCAGAAATGTTACCGTTGTGTCACGTGGCACAATCTGGAGCGTTGGAATTCAATTTTTAAAAAATCCAACGGCAGAGATTAATTAGTTGAATAAAAAAAAAATTTAAATTGTAAAAAATGAATAAAAATAAAAAAAAAATTGAAATTAAATTTTTTTTTTTTTTTTTTTTTTTTTTTACTTTTCTATAAATACCTTTTTAGTATCATCTACCTTACACCACAACTTCTATCAAGGTTTCTAGAACGACTGGGCCAGCATATCTAACCCATAGCTTGGATGACTCGACGGGAATGTGAGGCTCTACCCATTCTTGCTTTGTCATCTCTCCTTTTACGCTCCTCATCCTATTCTTTCTCATTTTGGGCCACTTGGAGATTGAACATTTCTTCTGATTGGTTAAACAATTCTTCCTCTTGCTAATCGATTTCCCACATCATCCTTGAAGAATAAGACATTGTAAAAATGAATCAGAAACTATGAATAATGATAGAGATTTTGGTGAAGAGGGAAGTAGAAACTATGAATAATGATATAGATCTTGAGAAAATTGGTACGAGATTTTTGATGATGGATGGTGGATTATATGGAGGATTCAGAAAGGATTAAGTTGTAGATAATGTCACGTGGCATGTCGTCATTCGTTAAAAATCTGATGGAAATCTATCCTCAAAGATTGTAAATAGATTATGACACGTGGTGTGACGTGATTGTTTAATAATCTTATCGGAAATCCATCATCAATAATTGCATTTTCGGATAATGACACGTGGCGCAACGAGTACGATTAAAAATCTTATCGGAAATCCTTCACCAATAATTGTCTTTTTGGATTTTATGACACGTGGCGCAACGAGAACGATTAAAAATTTTATCTGAAATTACAAATAAAATTATTTTATATTATTTTATTTTATAACTTTTCAGATAATAACACGTGGCGCAACGAGAACAATTAAAAATCTTATCCGAAATTACAAATAAAATTATTTTGTATTATTTTTTAAATAAAAAAAATAATAATATTTTATTGCCCATTGCCAGAGCTATTGAAATGCAACGGTGGAGATGCAAAAGGCGATTACTGTTCATTAAGGGCAGTTACTGTTCACTAGGTGAATAACATAGTATATTACCTGGGGGGTTCCATGCTGGAAGTGCTCTTAAGTTTTTTACTTTACCATTTCCTGATGTTTGCACCAGAGAAGACCAGATACAAAATTCTATAATTGTAAAAAATAATGGGTAGTCAACCTAGTCATTGTTAGTGATATAGTTCCCTTTTATTTGGAAAATGAAATTGTAATGCCATATCCCACTTTTTCTTCTAGTCAATGGTGGCATTACATTTTTGGTGAAAGCTGCACTGCCTGGTTTCAGGATGGGTACAACCCAGTGGCGGTTGATATGAAGGGAGACGAGGACAATTCTAGGAGCAATAAGAAGAGAAATCCATTCAGTGCTGATTTTTTCGGCTCTCTCTGCTATACTTTCCAGCATGGGAAATTTATAGAACTCTACGGTGATCTAACCAGGATTGATTCTCGTCTGGATATTTGTTCAGATTCAGTTTTGGCTAAAAGGGTTATTTATGGTTTGAAGAGTTCCCCTGCTAATAGTGCAAAAGATCCGGTGTCCTCCACTAGGATCAATATAATCCTTCAGTAGCAGCTATTTCTATTTATACCTTAACTGTCTAAATGTTGTGCACCTTAAGTTGGAAGAGAATTTTTAAATGCAGTTATGCACAATATGTTACAAAATCCGCATAGTCATTTGCTAATTGGTACTTGTGGAAGCGCGTATGTAACATCCTACATCGACCAATGGAGAGAGGGTGACATGCCTTATATGTACCTGCGCACCTCCATATAGCACAAGGCCTTTTGGAAACTTACTGGCTTTAGGTTCCATCGGAACTCCGAAGTTAAGCGAGCTCGGGCGAAAGCAATCCCAGTATGGGTGACCTACTGGGAAGTTCTCGTGTGAGTTCCCAAAAACAAAACCATGAGGGCGTGATCGGAGCCCAAAACGGACAATATTGTGTTACGGCGAAGTCGACACTGGGATGTGATAGTGTATGCCCTGTCTGATTTCGATAATCTGCAATCATTTTTCTGCTGACGTATCTGTACAGTCGTTTTACTGCTCATGTGTTTTAATGTACGACTATTAGATCAGCGTAGAACTTTAAAATGAGAGGATGAAAAGCTGAGCTCCTTTATATGGCTATTAACATGCGTGGCTGGGGTGAATGTTTTGTTTAATGGGATGAAAATCCAATTGTTATTGACACATTACCTTTCATTTGTAGATTTAAGGGCCAATTGTCTTTCAAACGGATTCCAGGATTGCACTTGACTGCGTTAGTATCGTGCCACTTCCACTTAAAGGTTGAAGAAAGTTTGAGTAGCAAAGCCTGGAGATAAAATTGCCTACTAGTTGATGAGTTTTGCAAGTCTTTCCGTCCTCATTTGTCCTGACTTGGGAGGGAGCCTGAGGATTTTCCTACGTCCACGTGTACATTTATTTGTTTATTATGTAGGATATTTCATATGATGCGAATGTGAAATTTGAGAATCGATATTAACATTAAATTTATAAATTGGAACCTATTCACCTCCCTTAAACTAGCATCTTCCTTCATTGAAATATAACATATGAGCACTCCATCACCACTTTCTCCTTTCACACCATGGTGGATTTTGCGGATTTCCCAACCATCAATCTCTTTCTCGCAAAGTACTTCTATGACAATGATCCATCGCCATGGTAAAGTCTCAAGCCAATGAAACAATTATAACTCATAAGTTTTTCTCCACTTAATATCATGTCATTAGCACAAATGCGATAAAGAGGATACACCATGTTCAAACTCATTTCAAGACAGATAAGGAACCCAAAGGAAGAGACAAATAAAACCTTCACAAACCCACCACTTGAACCCCAAAACCGAAACCAAAAAGAATTCGCGCTCCCTCACTCTTTCGACAGCCAACAATGGCGAACCTGAGGACGGCGATGGACTCAGCCTTCTGGGACTTGAACGTTTCTTCACCTCAGACCCTTGAGGGCTCGGCCAAGGCCGTTCCCGGCGACCCCTTTCTTCTCGACGGTGCTCGAGCCAGCCGAGCCCTTAGGATTCAGCAACTCTTTCTTCTGGGTGTTATACCTTCCTACAACCCCAATTCTTACAGGGACTTGGGTTCTTTCACTCACCAGTCCCTCTGCTCAGACCAGCTACCTCTAACTGGTACACGGCTACAACTTCTTTGCTTCGCTATTGCCTATTGGGTTTTCTCAAATTTATTTTATTTTTCGTTTAATGGATATTCTTTTTCGTTTTACGTGTTTCTGTTGATTGGTTTGTGGTTTGTATGGTTACTGAGAAAATGATGGGAAATGGGTGTGATTCATTTGTTGTTTGTTTGGTTGATGGGAAAGTTTGGAGAGAAGAACAATTGAAATTGTTGTTATGGGGTTGAATTGGGTAAAGGAAAAAGGTTAGGAAAGATAATTTGTCTCCTGTTTCCTGAGAAATGAACCTTTTTTTTGTTCTCCAAATTCGTATTTTTGTAAACAATTTTTATGTTACTAATTGCTAAGGAGCCTCTGCTTCTAGGTTTGGTTTGTTCTTTGTTTGATATTTAGGAAGATGTTGGTATATTGTATAAACTTTGGGTTATTGGTGAATTACTTGATGTGAGAAAGAGAGATTGAGTGGAAAGCTTGACAGCCGAACAAAGCTTGTTTGCCTAGTTCTAGTGGTATAGCACATAAAGCATGAATTTTTTGTTGCCTTGTTATTTTACTGATTTGCAAGCGGGTTCTTATGTTTTTCCAGAGCATCAAAGTTTTATCAGGTTTATCAGAGCACTGGTTGGGATTATCCATTTTTTTTTTTTATGGGATTTCTTAGGTGAAAAAGTTTGTTTCGATTTTGAAATCTGAACAATATTGTCGCTAATGAATGTACTGTGTAAATGCATTGTATTTTTGAAATTACTGTTCCAAATGTGTTGAGTTTAATGTCCTAATTCCTTGAGCATGTTTTGTGTTGGAGGAGTGAATTAAGAGTTACTATGCTTATGCTTAGACCAAAGTCATCTCACATTAATCAAATCCGGTTAGCATTCTTAGTTGTCCGACATACTAATTCCCTCGTTACATGATCTGCGTGAAAATAGGTGGCTTGGATTAATTGGGCAGTTCCGCCCGAAGAAACTCTTTTCTTTTATTAAAGCTGAATTTACCAATGATGAGATGGGGGTCCCTACTTTGAAAGATGTGGTGAAGCATGTCTTGGACAAGTCACTTTATTCGTTTGGATTATGCACACAGCTTCTTTTGTCCCCGTCCTCATCCATAAAGTTGAGCACAGAAGGACATGGTGAGAAAAAAGGACGCCGCAACAAATTGATGCTCTTTCGTAAGGCACGCATTTACTTTCCTGTTTTGACCTTTAATCAAATGTTTAAACAGTCAGAATTCCTTTTGTCCCTTGTTTGCCGGGTTTTTGAAGCTAGTTTGAGGGATTTATGGGTGTCAATTTCTTCATTTTTTGTACAATTGCTATGGCTAGGTGGATAATTTGTTTACTGATTGGAGTTGTTAGGTTTAAAGTTCTTTTTTGGGTTTGTTCATGCCAGGTTGTAGTATCATCCAACTGCGATTTTTTCTTTCTTTCATATGACAAATTTCTCTTATGGGAATTGAAGTTAAAAATAAGTAATTATAGGGATGTATCACTTGAACTTTACCAGATTCCGTCAACATGTATAATCTTAAAGTATTGTTTCCTAATTTCTTAATTGTTGAAAAGTAGGGCCTTGTTTGGTCTCTAGGATTGGAACGGAATGGACAAACTGCTATATTCAGGGTATGTTAAAGATAGGGGTGAATGATTTTTCATATTGAGGTGATTAGAAGGGGGATATGGAAAATAATCCCTTCTGATCCTTACCATTTTGGTGGATTGGAATGGAAATTAATCCATCTCCTACCTTCAAGTAAGCCACAATTTTTTCATTTCTTTCGTCAACATACCTTGAATATAGTGGGTTGTCCATTTCAATCCAATCTTAGAGACTAAATGAGGCCACAATTTTTTCATTTCTTTCCTGAACATACCTTGGATATAGGTTCGTGTATATCAACATGCTTCAAAAATCTTAATTTACAAGTTTCTTCTGTTTACCACTTTTCTTTATAGGTTACATGACTTGATAACATTGCACATATGCACTGCAGGGAACATAGATAAAATTGGAAAGTTTCATGTCTATAAATTAAGAGCCATGTACTGACAAAGTTAATATCAGTACCTTTAACATTGCACATGTGCTGCCTAAGCTGTTTGAGTGAAAAAGTTCATGTCTGTACCTTTATTTCCTTTATTTATCTTCCTGTTTAAATTATGAGCCATGCATTAAATTTTCTCAACCTTTAAGGTGTTTGCAGCTTCCTTACCATGATATTACACTTGAGGCTGCATGGCCTGAACTGTTCGTTGACCATAAGGGAAAATACTGGGATGTGCCTGAGTCAATTTCCTTAGATATGTCATCACTTGTCTCCAAATCTGGATTGCGGTACCACATTGGTGTACATAAAAACAGTGGTCATCCCCAGGCAGTTAATTCCATAGATGATGAGGCACCTCCTTCTCTAATGCCTGGATTCTGCGCAAAGGCTGCCTTTTCTTATGAAAAAAGCCAAGATCTTTGGAGTCAAAATGAGACACGAAAAGACATCATGATACAGAAAGAAAAGGGTTTGTTTTGGCGGCCATCTTATGATGTGCGTCTTAAAGAACCTCATGCTGCAGTATATGGAATTTTTGGTAATTTAACACGTTACTCATATTTTCTGTGATAACTTGTATTATCTCGTTACAGTTTTTTGGAAGTTTCATACCAATACTCAGGTGTATATTATAATTTTTTAGTTTATACATTTGCATGTTTTTATACATGTATACATGTTTTGGTACCTCTTAGTTTCATTTATATTGTATGTGTGTAGTTTTCTACTTTAGTATATTAAAAGCCAGTAGAATTAAGGAGTATGTCACCTCCTTTTAGTAGGTGTGACTGCAGTAAAAGAAAATAATAGTAATAAAAATAATTCTAGAGACAAATTCTAACAGAACAATTCTATATTTTTATTTTGTGTTTACGAGTCCAGATCTGTTGCCGACAGTATGCAGTATCTTTAGTTTTTACTTTAACTATTTCCTGATGTTTGCCCCAGGGAAGGCCAGGTACGAAATTCTTTAATTGTCAAAATTAATCATTGTTAGTGATATAGTTCCCTTTCGTTTGCAAAATTAATTTGTAATGCCATTCTCACTTCTTCTGGTCAATGGTGGCATTAAATTTTAGATGGAGGCTGCACTGCCTGGTTTCAGGATGGGTACAACCCAGTGGCAGTTGATATGAGCCGAGACGAGGGCAATTCTTGGAGCAGTAAGAAGAGAAGTCCATTCAGTATTTATTTTTTCTGCTCTCTCTGCTATACTTTCCAGCACGGAAAATTTGGAGAGCTCTACGGTGATCTGACCTGGATTGATGCTCGCCTGGATATTTGTTCAGCGTCAGGTTTGGCTAAAAGGGTGATAATGGTTTGAAGAGTTCCTCAGCTAATAGTGCAAAAGATCCGATGTCCTCCCCTAGGATCAATCTAATCTTTCAGCAGCAGGTATTTCTATTTATTCCTTAACTTTTTAAATGTTTCACACCTTAAGTTGTAAGAGATATTTTAAATGCAGTTATGCACAATGTGTTAGAAAACCTGCATCGTCCCCATCAAATCCTCAAAACAAATCTTCCTCAAAATATTCCATCTTCACCTCCAAAATACCCACAATGTTCAAAAACGTCAATCTGGAAAAGCTACGCGTTGTGCCTTCTTTTCTTCGCCGCGGTTAAATGACTTGGTAGAAAAATCTGAAATTTTGGTACAATCATCTTGAAAGACTGACGACCATCCTTCAATTGAAATCTCTAAAATTCATGCGTTTGATCACTTTTTACTCAAGAGGAAGTCGAATGCCCTACATTGAAAATACATAACAAAGTATCAAAATTCTACCAAAATAACTAATAAACTATAACTAAGAATAGGGTAAAATAGATGAGATAATATGTACTCATCAAATACTCCCAAACTTAGCTTTTTGCTTGTCCTCCAACAAAACAAAACTCAAAAACAAAAAATAAAAACTAACAAACTAAAAACTTTAACAAAACTTGACTAAGACAATTTTCACTTTCAAGTTGCAATCCATAAAAAATGTTAAAATTAGAACATCTTTTAAAAAATTCCAACCAATACCACCATAGAGTCTAATCCATTTAGAATTAATTAGAAAAGAACTCATGAACTTCATTTGGTATAAAATGAATCAACATGGTTAAAAAGACTCGACTAAAACCCTTACCACTTGTCCATTTTAGTTAATACTTACTAACTTCAAACATAACTATTTTGAAGTTAAAAAGACTAACCCTTACCACCACAAAGTCTAGTCCATCTGAACTCCGAAGTTAAATGAGTTTGGACGAGAGTAGTACTAGGATGGGTGACCGCCTAGAAAGTCATCGTGTTACATCCCTCGCAACCGACCCCACATGGTGGGAAAAGGCTTAAGAAAAAGAAGAAGAAGATAGTAATAAAAGTGGTTGTGCAATGTTAGTTCACTTAAACTTTTGATCCAACCCATGTAATGAGTTTTAGGTCAATGACTCCCAAACCACAAGGGCTTTAGGACACTAGGTGTAGAATGCCCCTAAGGACTTACTAACTCGAGTTGAAAAGGCTACGAAACCAACTAACCACCTTGCCCCATGCCAAGACTCTACTATTTGACGCGAGATCACTACTGATTAGGCATGACTGTCCTGGTTACTAAGCAAAGTCTCGGTGGAACAATTATTACTTTATTTATAACAATAACTAAACTTTATTTTTTTAGAACAAAAATATAAAAAATTAACTAAAAGCAAGTGCTTCAATCTCACCCCCACAAATCATGTTGGTGTGAATGTGCTAATTGTGAAAGGATAACTCATGAATTAGTGCCAAAACAACAATAAATAGAAAAGACTCTACTGTAGAAATAATTTCCACCATGTCCATTTGTTCAAATGTTTAAAATAATCTATGAATATTAACTTAAAAAGAATGAAAAATTTTAGCATACTTAAAAATTAAAAATCTAAAAATTTTACCTTTCCACCCCTAAACTTAAATCACACATTATCCTCAAGGTGCAGAATAAATAAAGAAAGAAAACAAAAATATTAAAACCTTAAAAACAGAAAAATAGCTAACAAAGACAAAAGAAAATAAAAGAAAGAAACAATAAAAGAAAATATAAAATAACAAAGGAAACAGGAACAGAAATAAAAGAAAAGACAATGAAACCGACACACCTGGCATTCGAAGTGGTGACCTGCTGACAAGAAAGAAACAGAGGCGCTGGAAAATATTGGGAAAAGAAGCAAAATTTCAGTGCTCTGGAGAGTTGAACCCGTGACAGCAAACATGAACTAGAGGCCCATTTCCTCATCTCTCCTAACTGGCGCCGTACCCACGAGCCCAGAGCTGTGAAAGCTATCTCCTTCATTTCCTCTTTCCCTTCATTTCTCATGGAACTGAAACCCTAGCTTCCATCATCAACCCAGAACGTCAAAACATGAATCCATCTCCATCTCTGTCAAAAACGGAACCCAGCCATGGCGATCTTTGATTCTAGCCCAGATTGTCACCATCGTGCATTCCTCTGCGAAACCCGAGGTAAAGATCTCTCATTCTCTCTGCGATTATGGTCTCTACTTGGCGATATCTGAAATACAAATGCATCCAACCATTTTTCCCTTCCGTTTTCATGACGGAAGGTCAAATGAAAACGAAATTCTGACTGATGCATGTATGTTTTCTGTGTGTAGACTTGGGGATCCGAGTAAGGCCAGGGGGCATAGGAACTGCAAGGAGCAATGGCTCACAAATGAAGGTGCTGTACACACAGCAAAGATGGCTGCAAGAACTCGGATCTACAAAATGAAAGGTAAATCAAATCCCTCCACTGCGTTAAAATTAAGCATGGTTTAATATCTCTGAAAGTCATACAGATTTGTGAAATGTTTCTGTCATGCATTTATTGACCTAAAATTTCGTCAATGCTCATGTAATTTTCTGTGTGCTTGCATGCCTCCATGTGACAAATATTGAGACAAAAACTGTGCATGACACTGGATCTGTGACATGGCTTTGATGAATGTCCACCTCTGTGTTGCCTGGACCAACAATATTTTAATGAAATATGAGAGTGAGCGAGCGAAAGATAAATATTGATGAATGCTCAGATAAATGTTGATGAATGGATGACTGATGAATGCATATTTTTGTATCTTTATTGTTTCGTTTATAGAAGAGTAAGGTTTATGTCCCTCTTCTTTTTCATGTATTTTTTATTTCTTTTTCACATATTACGAGAAGTTAGGTTTATGTCCTCTAATTATATGTAACTTATTTTATGTTATTAATAAAATTCTTCTCGTACCGTCAAGGTTTTCTGAAAAAATAAAATAAAAAAAGCAATAAGCTACTATATAACGCTTCCCATTTTCAACCAGGGATAAACCTCTCAACATAGAGCAGGAAATCCAACATAGGTTTGAAATTTGATGAATACTTTCCACAACTTTGTTTTTTAATTTTTAATTTTAATTCTTTCAGAGTGTTCGTCTTGTAATGTTTGGCAAAGCTAGAACGTCATTGTTTGGCAAACATTGATCAACTAGCCATTTGCACTGCATTTTTTATCTAACAAATACGAGAACGCTTTCACATAACATCAATACTATTACATGCTATACCACATTATTAACAATAAGCTTCTAATCGCATATACCATTTGCTCGAAGTTTGTTTCTGATCCGACACATATGTGCCACAGCATCATAGATGTTCAATCTTTCTCTAGGCAACTCCGCTGAGCAAGCAACACCAATTTCTAAAACAGAGATTAAACTTTCTATGATTAGGATGCGATTCCTTGCCCTCCCCTCATTAGGATGATTGCTCTCTTGAACAAGAACGGGATCCAAAACCTCTTCCACTTGCTCAGGCAGAGCTGCCTTCACAAAGCTATAAAGGTTTGAAGTTCCCTGAAACATGTCATCGGTCGGTCTTTTTACTGTAAATATTTCCAACAAGAGGATGCCAAAGCTGTACACATCACCTTGTGTCCACACTTCATGTCCCATGCCATATTCTGCATTCCACAATTCAGAACATTAGATTCTAATTTTCTAGTGAAATGCTAAAAGCTCATTTCATGTTTGAAAATTTTAAAATAAATACTGCACAATTTTAAAATACTAGCTAGGGAAAAATAAACCACCAAGTGTATTTACCTGGAGGAGCATAACCAATAGTTCCCTTGATCCCTAAAGAGCTTGATTGATTTCCCGAAGAATTTTCAGCAGCTTTTGGTAGGAACCTCATCAACCCGAAGTCACCTACATGTGCAACCATGTCCTCATTGAGAAGAATATTGCTGGGTTTGAGGTCGCAATGAACTATTGGCGTCTCACAATGATGATGGAGATAATCCAATGCCGTAGCAACATCAATAACAATATTCAACCTCTGAGAAATTGTTAAGCTCCTTGGCCTCTCATTTGTCTCACCAATTGTATGAATTGGATACAGCCATTCCTCCAAGCTCCCGTTAACCATGAACTCATAAATTAAGGCCTTGAAGTCGTGACCGCGATAATCAAAACCAGAACATGCTGAGAGTACCTTGACAAGATTACGGTGTCTAATATTTCTGAAAGCCTCGCACTCAGCAATAAAACTTTTGTAAGCTCCGCGACGAACGAGGTTGAGTACCTTGATGGCAACTGTAGTTTCACCTTGCTCAAATACTCCTTTATAAACGGACCCAAAACTGCCCATACCGACCAAGTTGGTTGAGGAGAATCCATTTGTTGCCTTTAGAAGACTTTGGTAAGACACCTGGGGAAATTTGTCCGAATCAGTTGCAGCTTGACCCTTTTTGTCCCTCCGTGAGCAATAAAGGTACAAAAAGGTTAGTGCAAAAATGACTCCAAGAATCCCACAAACGAGGGAGAGAACCAATTTCATGGTTAAGCTCAATCCTTTCTTTTTTGCATGCTGGAGTTTGCACTTTGGCAAATGAAACTCAGGTATGCCCCCACAAAGCTTGCTATTTCCTTCAACTGATGTCGCCGTTGCATTCTTGAACACTCCTTTGATCGGCAACATGCCCTCAAAATTGTTATAAGATAGATTCAGAGATTCCAAAAATACAAAACCTTCTAAGAATTCTGGAATGGTGCCTGACAAGTTGTTGTGAGAAAGATACAATTTTGAAAGACCTCTTAGTGAACTCAAAGTTGATGGAATTGTCCCATTGAAGAAATTTCCATGCATGTCTAGGTACTCTAATTTTATACAACTAACAAGACTAGCCGGAATTTTACCGAATAACATGTTATCAGAGATATCTAAATACTCTAGATTTATTAAAATTCCTATGTTCTCTGGCAGGGAGCCTATAAACTGATTTTGTCCTAAACTCAAATCATACAAGTTCAGCAGACCAAAGATTTCTTGCGATATGATACCGCTGAAATTGTTGGCACCAAGAGATAAGATCCTCAAATTCTGACACTCTGCTAAACTCGGCGGGATATTGCCTTGAAGTTTGTTGCCGTCTAAGTATAACTCATTTAGTTGACTTAAATTTCCGAAAGAGGATGGAAGATTGCCAGAGAGAGAGTTCCCATTAAAAGCTAATTTATATAACTTGTGCAGCTTTCCCAGACCAGGGGGAATGTGACCTGAAATTTGGTTCTCGTCCATCCCCAAAAGCTCTAAGTTAGCCAGATTTACAATCTCATTCGGGATACTTCCTAATATTTTATTTTGAGCTATAATGAAGCCTTGAAGAGAAGAAGACAGGTTTCCTATGCACTGAGGTAACGTGCCCCAAAAATTGTTGGTAAACATTTCGAGAATTTCTAAATGGGTGGCGTTGGTCAAATCGCAGAGAAAGGTCAAGTCATCAATTCCCCCACTTCCGAGATGGTTGTCATTAAGGATTAACCACTCAAGCTTATGCAAATTCGTCAATGGAGGGACTTTTCCATGCAGGTGGTTATCTGCGATCTCCAATCTAAATAGATTTGAGGCATTTGATAATGAAACAGGAATAGATCCACTGAATTGGTTACTGGAAATAGAAAGGAGTGTGAGACTCGGAAAGACCATACCTAAGTTTGAGGGTAGACTCCCTTGGATTTCATTTATTGCCATAGAAAGGAGTGTGAGAGAAGAGAGATTAAAGATTGAGGGAGGAAGCATACCCGAAAAGCTATTTAGGTCGAAAGCAAGAAAGCTAAGATTGGTCATTCGGCCAAAAATATCCGGGACAGTGCCACTCAAATTATTAGAAGCTGCGGAGAACCCTTCAAGAGATGATAAATTGCTAAAAGAAGGAGGGACTCCCCCTGTAAAGTGGTTCAAGTGGATGTGAAAAAATCTCAACTTTGACAAGAGGCCAAGCTCCTTTGGAATCTTTCCCATCAGCTCATTGGAACCAACATCGAGCCTGAGGAGCTGAGAGCAAGGCGACAAGTTAGTGGGAATTTCTCCACTCAGTGAATTGTTGTTTAACCGTAGGTGTTGCAATCTGTGCAGGCGGCTGAATTCTGGAGGAATTACACGGCCTAAGCTGTTGTTCTGGAGATCAATGACTCTCAAAAAACTCAAGTTCCCAACATGCGGCGATATAGATCCTGCAAGTTTGAAGGACCGCAGGCTCAACCTTGTGACCCTCTTATGACGACGACCACATGTAACGCCATGCCAAGAGCAAAAGTGGATGGTTTCATTCCATGAAGTCAGGACTTCAAAAGGGTCATGAGTTATGCTAGCTTTGATTTCAAGCAAAGTGAGTCCATCTGTCTCATTTCCCGGAAGGGCGAAACAAGGAAGGCAAGAGTGAAGAATGAAGGCATGCATAAAAAGGGATGACAAAAACACTGCAGAAATGGAGTTGTAAAACCCCATCCCCATGACGATGATATTTGTTTTGTGCGAAAGTAGAAATGGAGTTGTAAAAAAGTTGAGCTGTATTGATTGTTTGTCTAGCAGCTTTAGCAGCATCCAATTTATAATCATAATCAGAGTGCTCTGTACGTAGTGGATCAGCCACCCCAATCGCTATCGTACTCGATGAGGGATGTCCTGACAAAAAAAATATATCTTTTTCTCTTAATTTGATGAATAAATTCAATATAAATATAATTTTGTGAACTAATATTAGGAATGTTCACTTTTTTGAAATTATTGTATTCATTCTTTAACTTAAAACAACTGAAAAAAGAGAGATATTAGTTTTGTATGAAATTTCTCTTTGATTAAAAACTGTATGACACAACGACTAACTTGATGAATGTGTTTTTCTTGTTGAGAAATTTTTATGGGTACTAAAAATACAAGTTAGGTGGCGTATTATTCTACGTGTTATAATAAAGGTGGACGACAAGGTTGATATATCTTACTTCTTATGTATATTGATAAATAAAAAAACAAAAAAACAAATTCACGAGTTATAAGTTGAGTGAAATAATAACACCATATGGTCGTGTTCGAATACATAAAAAATTGCTCGTTCCTGTTCATATCGATAGTATGCCAATAAAACAATAGTTAGCTTTGGTATTGTACAATGACAATTCCTAATTTTGGTGCATTATTGTGTCATTTGTTTATGCGAACAAATAATGTTCGTCCTCACTCCTCTAGTTCCAGATTGGGTGCGGGCTTGCGTCTTGTGAATGGATTGAGGATATACACAAAAGAATAGGTAATGGGAATTTAGGTATGGGCAAGGCTGAGATCAAACAACCACTGCGGCAGAGGCGGCTTTGGGGGACCAAAAGGTGCAATTGTACATGGTTTCAAATTTATTTGAAAGGACTTTAATATTTATATTAAAAAAAAAACTTTTTTTATTAGTACTATAAAATCTCATTGTGTACTCCTTATAATAAAATGCCGAGATTCTCTAGAAAAAAAAAAAAAAAAGGAAACAAAGAGAGTCGCAAGATTATAGCAAGCCGTATTACTCACGAAAGCCGTATTGTCTAAAGGGGTAAGATGAAGCTAAGGGTCCCGAGGTTAGCATTCAAAACTTTCTACGTACTTTTTTGAGATAGCATTTGGTCTTAGGATTGGTACTAATGAAGTGATCAGAGCCACTTCCTGTTCTCTAGCTGCATCTAACCACTATGAGTCATTAGAAAAAGATCCAACTGTTTTTTTTAATAAAAGGGGACCAGCTAGTGACTTTGCCACGACAGTCCATTCTTCCTGGGGTAGGGAAGACTCACATAGGCATTTCAGCCTCCC